TGGAGTATTGTACGCAGTACTGAATTTTCAGAAGGATATTAATACTTTGGAAAGAGTTCAGAGAAGGGCTACTAAACTGGTTAATGGATTGCAGGATATAACTTACCAGGAAAGGTTAGGGATCTTAACATGTGTAGATGGGGGAAAGACGAGACAGGGGGGATATGATAGAAACATTTAAATACATAAAGGGATTTGACACAGTAAAGGAGGAGACTATAGAAAAACTACCACAACAAGAGGACATAGTCTTAAATTAGAGGGGCAAAGGTTTAAAAATAATTTCAGGAAGTATTACTTTACAGCAAGCATGTCAAACTCAAAGTGTGGCACGGGCAACATAAACAAGTTTAAGTTAATGTGGGCCGCACACACACACACTCACTCACTGACATACAGACACATACTCACTGACAGACAGACACACACACATACTCACTGACAGACACACACATACAGACAATGACACACACATACTCACAGACAGACACACACATACTCACAGACAGACACACTGACAGACACACACATACAGACACACTGACAGACACAAACACTGACAAACACACACACATACTAACTGACAGACACACACATACTTGCTGACAGACACACACACACACACACATACAGTTACTGACACACACACACATACTCTCAGACAGACACACAGACATACTCACAGACACACACAGACACACACACTGACAGACACACACACTGACAGACACACACACATACTCACTGACAGACACACACATACTTGCTGACAGGCGCGCACACACACATACCCACAGACAGACACACACATACAGACACACACACATATACTGTGATGCTTTTGTGTAATACCTCTTTAATTGGAACTCAACTGCAGATTTTTCTGAGGGCAGGAACAGTGAGTTTCACCTCCTATTATATTGGAGTGAAATCAGTGGACTGTATCTTTAATTAATAATTAGGAAAATGCCAAGTTAGTTCCAACTTGAATTTTAATAATGAAGTTTTAGCCTTAGCATCAATCCTTATTAGTCAACAGAGAATTTAAAGAAATTAAATTACAATAATTAGTTGATATGACTTGTTTTCCTTGACAAAAGATTTACTTAACTTAGAAGCACTCTGGCACTGGAAGGGTTAATTCACCCAATGGAGGAAGAGGAAGGAGTCTCTTTTAACAAACTGCAGGTTAGTAGTGAGAGAAAGGAAGTCCGTTTGTCCAAGCCGAAGTCTGAGAGAGGAGAAGGTAGAAATCCGTTTACAAGCCGAGGTCTGAGTGAGGAGAAGGTAGAATTCCGTTTACAAGCCGAGGTCTGAGTGAGGAGAAGGTAGAATTCCGTTTACAAGCCGAGGTCTGAGTGAGGAGAAGGTAGAATTCCGTTTACAAGCCGAGGTCTGAGAGAGGAGAAGGTAGCATCGAGTAGAGCAGCTGATCTCACTGCCGCACCTGAGTGAATAATCCAGCACTTTGAATCTGGCGCGGTCTTCCTAAGTATCGTGGAAAGACCGCGTCAGGAAAAAGGGGCGGAGCTAAGCGCCGTGAACCCGGAAGTGGGTTCCGGCGGCAGCATGAATGTTAGGTATAACTGACATATACTTACTGACAGACACACACACATACTCACTGACAGACACACATACTCACTGACAGACAGACACAAACACTGACAGACACACACATAGTTGCTGACAGACACACACATACTTGCTGACAGACACACACACACATACAGTTACTGACACACACACACATACTCTCAGACAGACACACAGACATACTCACAGACACACACACTGACAGACACACACACTGACAGACACACACACACATACTCACTGACAGACACACACATACAGACACACACACATATACTTACTGACAGACACACACACATACTCACTGACAGACACACATACTCACTGACAGACAGACACAAACACTGACAGACACACACATAGTTGCTGACAGACACACACACACACATACTCACTGATTGACAGACACACACACATAGTCACTGACAGACACACACACACACACACATACTTGCTGACAGACACACACACATACTTGCTGACAGACACACACACACACACACATACAGACACTGACACACACACATACTCAGACAGAGATACAGACATACTCACAGACACACACAGACACACACACTGACAGACACACACATACTTGCTGACAGGTGCGCACACACACACAGACAGACACACACACATACTCACAGACAGACACACACTCACTGACAGACACACACATACAGACGAACACACATATACTTACTGACAGACACACACACATACTCACTGACAGACACACATACTCACTGACAGACACACACATACTTGCTGACAGACACACACACACACACACTCACTGACTGACAGACACACACACATACTTGCTGACAGACACACATACTCACTGACAGACACACACATACTTGCTGACAGACACACACACACACACACTCACTGACTGACAGACACACACACATACTTGCTGACAGACACACACACACTTACACACATGCTTTTCTTTATTGCTCCTTACCTTTTGGAGCATCTCCCTGGGGTCCATCCTGCTCCTCACTGCTACTGCGCGCAGTTTAGTGATGCCAGGTGCCGGAATATGACGTCATATTCCGGCGCCCGGCTTCACTTCAGTCGGCGCGCGTGAGGAGCAGGTACACTGAGCTCCCTCGCTGCCACCAGAGACCTCTCCTCCCCGGCCAGGTTAATGATAGCAGAGTGGGGAAAGCAGGTGCCTACTCTGCTTGGAACATTAGGCATGTACTCGTGGCTCACTTTGCCGCAAAGATGGTCCTTGTCGGGCGCATGCGGCCCGCGGCCCGCGAGTATGACATGCTTGCCTTACAGAGATGGTAGTGGACGCATGGAATAGCTTTCCAGCTGAAGTTGTAGAGGTTAACACAGTGTCAGGTATAGCATGGCATGTAATTTATCGCCGGAACCCACTTCCGGGTTCACGGCGCTCAGCCCCGCCCCTTTCTCTGACGCGGTCCCTCCACGATACTTAGGAGGACCGCGCCAGATTCAAAGGGCTGGATTATTCGCACAGGTGCTGCATGAAGATCAGCTGCTCTACTTCTGATCCTACCTGCTCCGCTTCTATACCTCGGCTAGTAAACGGATTTCTACCTTCTCCACTTCTCGACCTCGGCTTGTAAACGGATTTCTACCTTCTCCACTCCTAGACCTCGGCTTGTAACTCTGAATTCTACCTTCTCCACTCCCAGACCTCAGCTTGTTAAAACGGACTTCCCCACTCTCCACTCCTAGTTCTCAGCTTGTTGAAACGGACTTCTAATTTCTCCTTCATTGGGTGAATTAACCCTTCCAGTGCCAGAACTGCCTTTAAGTTAAGTAATACTTTTACCAAACAAGTCAATTACTATTATTTATATTACACAGTATCTAAAACTCACTAAAGTGTCACTTTGTCTAATTATTCCTCTTACTCATAAGAGATTGCTACAAAGCCTAATTTTACCTACATGGATATTTAAAGGTACAGTGACCATAGTTTCATACCAATATAAAAGGAGGTGAACCTTATTGTTGTTGCAACCAAGAAATGCTGCAGTTGAGTTCCAATTAAAGAAATATTACAAAATAAGTATTACAGAATAATTCAGCCCCTTCAATGGAACCAGCAGATATTAACTCTCAAGTTTCTGCCCTAACCAATAGAGTGGATACGATTGCTCAAGGGTTACAGGAACTGCAAATTACAAATGAGAGAATATTAACTTATGTTAGAGACATTCAAGGTCATCTTCCTCATGCCGCTCTTCAATCGGCTGGTGATCCTGCTGTCTGTAATCCAGAAAAATTTTATGGAGATAGAACAAAGTACAGAGAGTTTTTGAATTCTTGCAAACTACTAATTGCTTTAAAATCTAGATCTTATCCCACCGAAAGATCCAAAGTCTGTTCAGTGATCTCTTTTTTAAGAGGTGAACCTATGGCATGGGCCCATTCCTTTTTGGAAAATGATGATCCCATATTGGATTCATTGGATGAGTTCTTTGAAGCTATGTCTTTATTATATGAAGATCCTTTTAAACAAACTGCTGCTGATTTAACCATCAGAACATTACACCAAAAGAATAGACCTGTTGAAGATTATATTGCAGAATTCAAAAGATGGGCTACAGAAACCCAATGGAATGACATTACTTTACGCAATCAATTCCGTCTCTGATTATCTGAAGCTGTGAAAGATGAACTCTCTCGTACAGAACTTCCTCCTACCTTAAATGCATTGATTCAACTGTCTATCAGTATTGATAGACGTCTAAGAGAAAGAAAAGCTGAAAGGGTTCTTACTAATTCTACCTGGAGAAAACCTTTCACTACTCTAAAACTACCTGAAAAAATTCCTCCACAAACTGAAGCTATGGAAGTAGGTATAATAAAAAGTCCTCTTACTTCTGAAGAAAGAATAAGAAGGAGACAACTAAACTTATGTATGTATTGTGCTTCGAACGAACATCTAATTTCCGAATGTCCTCTACTGAAACATTCAAAAGGTGGTAAGCTTCATTCATCTACCTCTATATTGAACCTTCTTCAAAAAAGAAAAGCATCTA